CAGTGAGCGGCCGTCCAGAAGCCGGCGACTGATCTGTTCCCCTTTCCCCAATTCCCCAGCACTGTTCCCATCCCCCCAATTCCCCAATAAAAATCTTAAAAAAAAAAAAATCTGCATGCCCAGGCTGCACCCAGACTGATTATATCAGAATCTCTGTGTTTTTTTTTTTAGATTTCCAGATAATTCCAACATGCAGCCCAATTTGAGAATGAGTGACCCAGCTGATTACTTTGGTCATCTCAAAAGCAAAACTCTACCTCGTGTTTCTGATTCAGCAGGCCTGGGGTGGGGCCTGAGAATCTGCATTTCTAACAAGTTTCCCGGGGATGTTGCTGCTGCTGCTGGTCCAGGGGCCAGACTTTGAGTGGGAATCCGTGGGATTCTGGCAGACATTATATTACGGAGGCCCTTATAGCAATGTGGAGCATGTTTTCACTGAATGGAAAAAGCAGAATACCAAACTGCACATTCACTAGGAGTCACGTAGAGACAAAAGGTGAGAGGGAGGGCTGGCCGAGTGGCTCAGTTGGTTAAGAGCTCGCTCAAGAGTTTGAGCTCTGAGCAACAGCGGTTCGATGCCCGGCCCGAGCTGAGCTGCCAACAGGTGGCAGGATGGCTCAGCTAAAAAATTTAAAAAAAAAAAAAAAAGAGAGGGAAATACATCTGAATTATACATACGATAGGAGCACTCTTTTGGTCTTTTTCCAATTTTCTGCAATGTGCAATGCCATTTTAATAATACTTTTTCATTTACTAATTTTTAAAAATTTAGTAATTAAAAAAATTTTAAATGTCAGTCATATAAAGAGCTCCATCAGAAGAGCCTAATATTTTTTTGGGGGGGACGGGGGTTCATAAGAGGCCAGATACACTGCAAACTGGAAAAACAGCCTTTACATTAGTAGGAATGAAACTGGTTTCATGTTGAGAAAAATCCCCCATCAGGGGACAACAGGAATGTTAAAACAACCCCCAGGCCTTTTCATAGTCACCTTGTTGAGAGCACCAGCTCCTGTCAGGATGATATGGGAGTTTTCCACCTGGATCACTCGCTGGCCCAGCCTCACCAAGTACGCCCCGATTCCAAGGGCTCGGCAGGTCACCTGTGGAGACAGGATCCCTTCTGAATTCCAGAGGGTGCTGTGCCCCACTCCCTACAGCAGGGGCGGAGGGGACACCCCAGAAACCCACTGGACACAAATGGAAGCTACACAAATGGGCAGTGTGGCCACTGGCCACCTGATTGGGGCCAAACAGCAGAGGCAAAGCCTGTCCTTCAGGCTTGCCCGACGTCGGCTTCCTATCTAGAAGAACATGGTTAAACAAGGAGAGTGTTTTAGACAGAAAGCAGACACGGGCACAGCCGAGTGGCTCAGTTGGTTAAGAGCTCGCTCAAGAGTGTGAGCTCTAATCGCACCATTTGGGATGATATGGATGGACTTAAGAGACTATTATGTTAAGTGAAATAAGTCAGTCGGAGAAAGACAAATACCATATGATCTCACTTATATGAGGAATCTAAAAAACTGAATGAATGAGCAAAGTAAACAGAACTGGTCTCAGAGATAGAGAGGAACAACTGATGGCTGCTAGTTGGGAGGGGGTGGGGATGAGGGAGAAGGGGAAGGGATTAGACAGCATAAATACATAACTACAATATTGCCACAGGGACATGAAAGACAGTTCGAGGAATATAATTAATAATGTTGTAAATATTTTGTAGGTGTCAGATGGTCACATGTCTTGCTAGGGAGACCNCTCCTGATCAGTTGGCCTTCCTGCTCCTGAATAATGATAAAACCCATTAAAATAGCTAGTTGACTGAGGCAGCAAAACGCTGAGATCAAGTAAGAAAACAAACCAAAAAACAAAAACAAAAACAACCACACACATGGTACATCCATGCAAGGAAATAACATGGAGTACATTATCTTGCTTAACATGGAAAGAGGTCTATAAATAACTGACCAGTAAAACACAACAGTCTTCAAATGATCTGTCCACCTGAGCTCCATCTATAATTATACCTACAATACTATGTATGGAATTATGACTAGAAAGGGTCACCAACAGCACTGACCCCTGAGTGGCAGGATTCTGGCCACTTTTCACCTTTACCTTGATTTTTTAAAGTACAGTTGACCCTTAAACAACACAGAGCTTAGGGGCACTGACCTTCCATAGTAAAAAATCCACGAATAAGGACAACTGGCCTTCCCTGTACACAGATTCCCAACCTCGGAGTTGACGCTTGAACAACGCAGGTTTGAACTGCGCAGGTCAATTGAAAAGAATCCGCATATAAGTGGACCCGCACAGTTCAGACCCATGGTGTTCAAGAATCAACTGCAGTTTTCAGAATTGTTTGAAATATTCACAACATAATCATGGGTGACTCTTCTAAATGCAAGAAACAATGAGAAATGATCCCATAGTCAGCAAATACAAGAAACTCATTTAACAAACCAGCAACTTTCTACCCTCTCAATTCTGTCCTCATGCAGAGAGAACTACGTGACACAAGAAATGAATCCACGTGCCACCAGCTGGGACATGAAAACAGGCCATTTCAATGTCCGCCTCCCCACCCTCCAACCCCCGAGACTAATGTGTCACAGGGCAGGGCTAAGTGTGCCCAGTGAACCCTGCAATGCCCAGTGCGCAGCCCAGGGCCTGGCACAAAAGCAGGAACTCAACAAAGGGAAGGCCAGCATATGAGTGACAAGCTCAGAGGGAGAAAGAAACGTCCCGTGACATTTTACCTTTGTAATCAGGTCTGAGTGCCTGATGATGGCGCGGATAAAGAACCTGTGGTCCGTCACTTCCGTACCTTCCTTCACCTTGGCAGCGCCCAGGTAAAGGTGCATCTTGTGGTTGGCACAGGGCACGGCAGTCAGATCGAAATTGCGCATCCGGCTGAGCTCCAGCTGGAAGGCCAGGGCAGGCTCCAGGTGACGGTAAATGCGATCTTCTGCAAACTGCAGGCCAACCAGACAGAGAAGACAGATGCACACATAGACACACATCGAGTCTGACAGGAGACAAGAGCCTGCTTGGTCCACACAGCGGTCCTACAGCCGCTGGTGTCTGTGGGTTTAGTGCTAGGAATGTAGCAGTCATTGTATCACCCAGTTGTGAGGGGGCTCAAGAGATTTGGGATTTGGGGAAGGTCAGAGGACAGCCCTGAGTGTGTAAGCCTGGCATGCTGGCATAAATCTCTCAGCTGCCAGGGGAGCCCAGCTGGTCCCCAGCACCTGCCAGCACAGACAAGCTGTTCTCGGTCTGTCCCAGGCAGAGTATTTCTCAAGAAGTCACTAACTCCTAGGTTATTTGTGGAAACTGGCCCCCTCTAGGACACAACAGACAGTGCTGGAGACTGAACTGAAGGAAAAATGAAGAAGCCAGAGAAAGGATGGGTTTTACTTACAGAAGGCTTTGGATCAATTAAAATACAAAATTCTGAATTTGGTGGAGCCCTGAATCTGCGTTGGGAACAAGTCCACCTGTACCTGTCCTAGGACAGGGATCAGCAAACTTTTCCTTCAAGGGCCAGATGGGCCATTCGGTTGGTCATGACTACTCAAGTCAGGCGCTGGTGTGAGAAAGCCACAGCAGACCGTATGTGACCACATGGGTGTGGCCATGTTCCAATCAAACTTTGTTTATAAAAACAGGCAGCCAGCTCACAAGCCATAGTTTGCCAACCACTGTTCTAGAAGAACCTAAGAAAAAGAGGCTGGGAGGACCATCTCATTGAGTCTACCAGCAAGAACAAAATTTGTCCACGTGAGAGGGGCAGCTGTAGTAGTGAAGGCCGATTGGGCAGGAGGTGTGAGGTTCACATAGAAACACAGGGTTCTCATTGGAAATAAAACCCCAGAGGAAGGCCAGAGTCTGAACAAAAGTTGCCATGTTCTAGTATATGGGGATACCTTCAGGACTGGGGTATTCTTCCTGAATATCAAAGAGGCCAGGGAAGAGAGAACAATATTGCTTTTGGCCATACCTGGTCTCTTGCTCTGAATGTGAAAAACTTGGGAAATTCTTTCTGCAAAAAGAAAACCCATAAAAAAGACCATTAAATTAAGCAAGAATCATTTAAATATTTGTATACTGGTTTTTAACAATCGCCCCATCTGCTTCTAGAATGTAACATTTGAAAAGCCATCTCTTCTCTAGCAATTGATCACTTCTGCCCCAAGCTACAGAGCAAACGTCAAATAAATGGCACTGGGTCTTGGAGAATGGAAAAGACTCATACAATGCACTGAGAATCGGACTGACCTCTTGGGCAATCAGGAATGTGATTCTTCGGAGTCCATAATCCACAAGGATGTTTTTCTGCATTAAAAACCAAACACACAATAGAATTGTATTCGACCACACAAAGGAATGAAGTCCTGATACAAGTTATCACATGGATGAACCTTGAAAATACTATACTGCATGAAAGATGCCAATCCCAAGAGGCCTCGTATTGCACAATTCCATTTATATGAAATGTCCAGAAAAGACAAATCCACAGAGGCAGAAAGTAGATTAGTGGTTGCCCAGGGCAGTAGGAGAGGGTGGTGAGTTGAACAAAAATGGGGAGTGACTACTAATGGGTATAGGGGTTTTGTTGGGGGTGGTCATGAAAACGTTCTAAAATATAATGATCATAATGATGGTTACACAACTCTATGAATACAGAAAAAAAGCATTGAATTGTATTCTTTAAATGGAAGAATAGTGTGGTATGTGAATTAGATTCAATACAGCTGTTACACTAAAATATATATGTACTTTTATTTAACATGTCATGAACTCTTTAATGAAACTGCCAGGGATGAGCACTGTTATATCAACCAAAGAAAGAAAAAGACAAATGGGGCTAGCCAAGTGGCTCAGTTGGTTAAAAGCGCGAGCTGTGAGCAACAGGGCCACCGGTTAGNTGACACTGCCCTCCACAGCTAAGATGCTGAACAACAGCTCAACCTGGAGCTGGGCTGCTGAGAGTCGCCGGCGATGGCGTAGGCTGCAGCCCCTGCTGCAGTGGGTTGCCATGGGCTACCGTGTGTAGCTGGCAGCCAGTGTGAGTGGCCAGCAGCCGCCGTGAGCGGCCATCCAGAAGTCGGCGACTGATCTGCCTCACCCTGGAAGAGCACAATGATGGTGCCAACTTGGGCCAGTGAAGCAACGTCCTCCACAACTAGACTAAAGAAAAGGACAGCAACTTGTCTGTTCCCCTTCCCCCAATTCCCCAGCACTGTTCCCTTCCCCCCAATTCCCCAATAAAGATCTTTAAAAAAAAAAATCCACATATAACTGTCAACAGACTACTGTTGACCTGAAGCCTTACCGATAACATAAACGATTGACACATATTTTATATGTTATATGTATTATATACTGTATTCTTACAATAAAGTAAGCTAGAGAAAAGAAAATGCTATTAAGAAAATCATTAAGGAAAACACATTTATAGTATTTACTGAAAAAATCCACATGTAAATGAACCTATGCACTTCATAACCATGTTGTTCAAGGGGCTGATTATATATAAATAAAAGATATATTATATATATATATCTTTTGGAATATATAAAAACATATATGTTTTATATATTTCAAAATAAAAAGATATTTTTGAAATATATGTTTTTATATACATGTTTTTTATTTTGAAATATATATAAAATGAACATATATATGACATTAGGAAAATAAACCTAAGGAAGATACTCATGGTCAGTGTTTTTCACCTCGGAAACTGAAGACCCAGCACTGAATGTAAAAGTCAGGCCTTGAATAACAGTTTACCATTATTATTACTATTGGGTTGTCGGAAAAGTCATGACGTATTTCTTCTATGTTTTTCGTTGCAAAAATGCGTCATGACTTTTCCGACAACCCAATATTAGTAGATTACTATTAGTACTACTATTACTACTGCTACTAAAACAATATTTTTGGAAAGGTCAAAGGAGGAGATACTCATCCAATACCACTTAAAATTGGACAAAAGTTCAGCTTAGTACTCAGTAACTTTTAAATAAGAGGAGAATGGACTCTGATTCAAACAAGCCAACTGTTAGAAGATATTTTTGAGGTAACTGTTAAAACCGAACCCAAACTGGGTTCTGATGATGTTAAAGAATTGTCGTGGATGTTGCTGGCTGTAATAATAGTATTGTGGTTCTGTAAATCGGGGGAGGGGAAGTCTTTATCTAGTAAAGATCCACACTGTGGTATTTATTTACAGACAGAAAGCTACGACAGGGGGTTTGCTTTGAAACACTCCAAATCAGGAGGCAGAGGGATTGACACAGGAATGGCTACATGTTGATGATTATTGGAGCTGCATGATGAACACATGGGGCTCATTCGCAATTCTCTTTACTTTTGTGACTATTTTAAAGTTTCTATAATAAAGAGTCAAGACATTAAAGTAATAATAATAATAATAAAGCAAGAGGAGACTTACCAAGCTAATGGTGACGATCTCCTCATATGCCAGGGAGGACTCCCCCGCAATCATGCCTGAACCCCTCAGGTTCTCCATGCCCAGGCCATCCTCCTTCCCAATTATATCCGTGATGACATACCTTCAAGAACCAAACACAAGTGAGACACCGAGATCTAGTCCAGAACTCTAAGGCTGATGCATTTCCCAAGGACCTGAGGCAGGAGGGACAAGCAAGGTGAGGGACTGCAAGGGGATAAAGCAGCCTGCGGTGAAATGAAAGCGGGGGTCTAGAACCTTCACCATTGGCCCTAAAGCTTCTGGAAGAGCAAGTTCAGCATCAATCATTGTCACCCCTCCAGCCAAAGATGTCTGCCTGTTTGAAGACTGTCTTAATGAAATGTCATGCCCACCGTGCATTCCTCCAAAAGCAAGCTAGAAGAGCATCTGGTCTACAGAAAGAGGGGGGTGTATACTTGGGAATCCACTTAGTTCACAATTCATCAATCAAGATTCCATGGCCACATACGTGTAAGAGACACTGTACAGCCTAACCTGTTAAGAGATTTGCAAGGCACTTTAGTACATTAAAGGTTCTGAGAAGGCCTGCAGTAAAGGTGCTTGTTAGGTATCTTTTAACCCAGAGTTTCCTAAACCGACTTGACTATGAACATTTTCCTTTCGCCTACATATCACCAACTAACATTCTGGAAAACTCAGCCTGGGAAATTATGATTTAGTCAACCTCGTTAAAAAAAAACAAAAACAAATCCAACATTGCCTGGAAAAGATAGCTGGTAGCCTTGATGTTCACACAGAGCAGACCCCTGCCCGGCCCACACCTTCCCCGCTTGCCAAATCCCCGCTGCTGCAGTTTGGCTAATTTGGTCATACAATGTTGAGCCTGTAGCTCTGGGGATATCATGGGAATCCCCAATCTAATTCTCCCTGTGTGCTGTGCTATTTTTGTGAGCAGCACGGCTCGTTTTGGGATGACAAGGATGGGTTCACCTTGGAGAATGCCCCAGGTACTTAAGCCATCAGTGTCTGGAAGGAAACTCAGGGGGTCCCACTGTACAGACACCACCACCATCTTGAAACCACCACCATAAGCCAGGACGCACAAGGGATCCCTCAGTAGTAGCTGGAATTAACCACAGGCAAAATGAGGGGCGCCACCTGCTAAGTTATTTACCTGGATTCTCCTTCTTCTTCGACGTGCTTACAATGGACGGAGTTCAGAGAGCTGATTCTGGTGTAGTCTTGAGGGGTCAGATACAGGTATTTAAATCCCTGAAAAAAAATATGCTCCAATGAGGCTAGGACTCCAGTTCCCTGTATTCAGACAGCTACTTTTTTTTTTTTTTAATGTCAACACTGTAGGGGGGGATGTTAGTAACATGTTAACAATGTGTTAATAACATGTTAACATGTCTGATGTTAATACCATGTCCATAACAGCTGTAAACTGAAGATCCACTCTGCGCGGCGCGTTCCCCTCGTCCTTACAACACAGCCTCACTTTTTTCCCGGTCTGATTCTGTTCCTCAATTACCTTTGCACTATTGCTTTCCTAAGGAGACTTTTCAGGCTTTTTTCCTTATTGTAAGCACCCAACCCCCCAATTTTATTATCTATTGTTTATGTACTAAGTGTGTGTGTATATGTGTGTGTATGTTTTTTGCATGAAAAGAATAATTCTGTCCCCTTTCGGGGAGGCAGCATCACCACCACCTTGGAAATGCACGCTCTGGCTGTAAATAATGGCTCTGTCCCCTGTGCTTCACATAAAGTGTGTGCTTATCTCTCATTCATGTTGCCTTTTATTGTAGCTGGTGTCTCTATTATCTCCCGGATGTATTTTGAGAACTCTCCGAGGCCAGGGACTGTGTTATTTTCCATCTTTGCATTCTCAGTGTTCACTGCATTCAGGAGACACTCTGTATATATTATCAGTTCATTGTTTATAAATGTTTTTCATTATTGTCGCCCTAAGGAACCTTTTTAGACAGTTTTTCCTAATCGCCATCTCCTCCCATGAAATTTTAATATGAACATACTGTTTATGTACTGTATGGATATCTGTGCTTATATGTAAAAAGAGTAATAAGATGTTTTCCGTCCCCCTTATGGGCGCTATCACCCCCACTGAAAATATGTTAGCTGAACAGAATCATACTGCCACACTCGCTACGTGACGTACTTTGTGGGGGTCTTCTGGGTCCACCCAAGCCACCTGGAACATGTGTTTGATTTCCTCTGCAAGGCCGATACGGGCCCCGCTGTTGGCTGCGAGGTAGATTTTGGGGATGCCCTCTGCCCGGGCCATCTCAGACGCCCGCAGGTACAGAAGGTCTTCTCCCAGGCCAAAGGATCCGATGTTAAAGGTGATGTCGTTGCTGATCACGACCACGTCTCGCCCTTCCGGGTACTCTCGGGTCTTAAACCTCATTTTGAAGGCCACCATGCCCACCTGGTGACAAGACAAATGCACAAGAAAAACGGGTTTGTGTCTTCAGGGGGGATATTTTTTGAAAGGGTGATCCCAGCCAGGGGCTGGGCTCTGCTGAGTTCTTACCTCATTTCCTCCGGGAAGTCGGTTCATCTCTACGAGCTGACCCTGAGGGTCCAGCACCAGTTCAGTGTAAGTCAGGATGTCTTTGGGGTACTTGTCTGGGGAGCCCCACAATTTAAAGAGAGCCTGGAGAGAGGGGAGGAAAGAGAAAAACCTGAAGTCATCAATAGGGAAGCACGTTTTCTAGTTCTCTTTTAATCGTGAACTATTTAAAGCACACAGAAAAACATGCAGAATAATAAATACCTGAGCACTCATCTCATGGTTTTGTCAAATCATAACTTTTTCTTAGTTAAGATTTTTTGTTTAAAGAAATAAGAAAAATGACCAGATGCATTGTTATATACCCATAATGAATTGTCAGAAGAGAAATTAAGAAAACAATCCCATATACAATTGCATAAAAAAAAATACCTACACATAAATGTAACCAAGGAGGTAAAAGACCTGTACTCAGAAAATTATAAGACACTGAAGAAAGGAATTCAAGAAGATACAAATAAATGGATGCATATACCAGGTTCATGGATAGGAAGAATTAACATCGTTCAAATGTCCATAGTACCCAAAGCAATCTATAGATTCAATGCAGTCCCTATCAAAATACGCATGGCATTTTTCACAAACTAGAACAAATAATCTTAAAATTTATATGGAATCACAAAAGACCCCGAATAGCTACAGCAATCTTGAAAAAAAGGAACAAAATTGGAGATATCATGCTACTTGATATTGACCTATACTACAAGGCTATAGTAATCAAACAGCATGGTACTGGCATAAAAACAGACACATAGATCAATGGAATAGAATAAAGAGCCCAGAATTAAACCCACTTCTATATGATCACTTAATCTATATATATAACAAAGAAGGCAAGAACCACTTATTTAATAAATGGTGCTGGGAAAATTGGACAGATACATGTAAAAAAAAGAAACTGGACCACCGTCTTATGCCATATACAAGAATAAACTCAAAATGGATTAAAGACTTAAATGTAAGACCTGAAACCATAAAACTTGTAGAAGAAAATATAGGCAGTAAACTCTCTGACATTGCTCTTAGTGATATTTTTTTTTAATCATTTTCTTCGGTAAAGGAAACAAAAGAAAAAAAAATAAACAAATGGGACTACATCAAACTAAAAAGTTTTTGCACAGTAAAGGAAACCACCTACAAAATGAAAAGACAGCCTACTGAATGGAAGAAGCTATTTGCCAGTGATACATCTGATATGGGGTTAATATCCAAAATTTCTTTTAAATGCCCATACAATTCAATTAAAAAATGGGCAGAGGGCCTGAATAGACATTTCTCCAAAGAGGATATACAGATGGCCAACAGACATATGAAAAGATGTTCAATGTCACGAATCATCAGAGAAATGCAAATTAAAGCCACAATGACACACCACCTCACACCTGTCAGAATGGCATCATCAATAAATCAACAAACAAGTGTTGGCGAGGATGTGGAGAAAAGGGAACCTCTGCGTTGTTGGTGGGATTTCAAATTGATGCAGCCACTGTGGAACCTACTTTTTGGAGGTTCCTCAAAAAATTAAAAATAGAACTATCTTATGATCCAGCAATTCCACTTCTGGGTATTTATCTGAAGAAAACAAAAACACTAATTCAAAATGATATATGCACTCCTATGTTCACTGCGGCACTATTTACAATAGCCAAGCTATGGAAGCAGCCCAAGTGTCCATCAATAGATGATTGGATAAAGAAGAGGTGGTGCATTTATACAATGGACTATTACTCGGCCATAAAAAAGACTGAAATCTTACCATTTGCAAAAACATGGATGGACCTGGCGGGTATTATGCTAAGTGAAATAAGTCAGACTGAGGAAGACAAATACCATATGATCTCACTTACATGTGTAATCTAAAGAACAACAACAAAAAAGAACAAACAAAACAGAAACAGACTCATAGATACAGAGAACAAACTGATGGTTGCCAGAGGAGGTGGGGGTTGGGGAGCTGTGTGAAAAAGGGGACAGGATTAAGAAGTACAAATTGGTAGTTACAAAATAGTCATGGGGATGTAAAGTACAGCATAGGGAATATAGTCAGTAGTGTTGCAGGTGGGTACTAGACTAATCGGGGAGGGGATCACTGCATAAATTATATAAATGTCTAACTACTATGCTGTAAATAAATAAATGTGTTCCTAGACAGGCTAAATGTTCTATAAAAAATAAAAATAATATAAAACAATAAAAAAATAAGAAAAACGTGGTTGAAGCCTGTAGTGTAGCCCTCCCACATCCATCCCTGCCCCTCCTCCCCCCAGATAATCAATCGTATCTACCAGTCCTTTGCATGTGTGTATGTTTTCATTTCATCAGGTATGCATACATTTAAAACATGTATTATTTTGAATGACTTAAACTTTAAATATATTGCACTAGACATGTTCTTCTATAACTTGCTTTTTCAACTCCCTGATGTGTTTCGGAGATGTATCCACATTAATTTAGCTCTGGTTTCTTTATTTTTCCATGCTATTCAGTCTTCCATGGTAGGACTATATCACAATTTATGTATTCGTAACTCTTTTTGGGAACATTTAGGTTGTGTCCAATTCTACAGCATTACCAGTAACGGTGAAATGAACAGTCTTATGGCCCCTTCTTAGAAATACAAATTACCAGCTATACATCTAGGAGTACAACAGAAGGGCCACAGGGTTTGTGAAACTTCAACTTTGATATTATCAAATTGCTCTCGAATTTTTTGAAACCCTTTACAGTCCCGGTAAGACTGTATAACTCCTTTGTTCTATATACTTGCTAATCATTAGTTTTGTCAAATATTTTAACACTTACCCATCTGCTGGGTGTCAAATTGTATTTTCGTATTGATCTGTACTTCACTGATTAGTGAGGTGAGCATCTTTTTATATTGAGTTTCTTTTTTGCCAATTTCCTGTTTATAATTTCTGCCCATTTTTAAAATAATTTTGTTTGTTTTTTTCTAAGTGATTTATAACCATTCTGTAGCTAATGTAGTTCTAATCCCTTGCTGGTAATAGACATTGAAACATATTCTCCCAATTTGGGGTTTGTCTTTTCTCTATGCTTTTAACCGACTCCAAGTGGCTTTAACCCTCTTGAAATGTATTTTTGTATACTAAATGATGTAGAAATCAAAATTTATTTTTCCAGTTAGATATTTCCTTGTACCTTTTAGTGAAGTTTAGTCCCTTGACCCACAATCCCACCTCTGCATTTTGTCAAGGTTCTGTGCGTGAGTGGGTCTGATTCTAGGCTCTCGTCTGTTCCACTGGTCTGTTTTTCTAGCTCTATTACAATCATAGAACATTGTATTAAGTACTGCTGCTTTAAAGTAAGTAATAACATCTGCTAAGATGAGTCCTCTTGACTTTGTTCTTTTTCAAAATTGTTTTTGCTTTTCCATATGAAATTTTAGTTTTCACCAAACCACTCTGGAATTTTACTGAATATAGTAATTTGGGCTGAACTAATAGCTTTACAATATTGAATCTTCCCATCATTCCTTCATGACATATCTCCCCATTTATTTAGGCTTAAAGTATTTCAATAAAGTTTTAAAATTTCTTCCATAAAGGTCTTGTAGGTTTTTTATTTGATTTATTCCTAGGTAATCTTATAGTTGAACTTAATATTGTTTCATATTGTTTCAGTGGCCTTTTTTTTTTCTAATTTCATTTTACAATTACTGCTGGTTTATGAGAATGCAATTAAGTTCTCTATATTGATCTTGTATCTAGCAATCTTGCTGTGTTATCTAACTCATTGTATAGATTCTCTTGGATTTCTTCTATAGACATTAACATCATCTGCAAAAAACACCATTTGCTTTTTTCTTTCTAATCTTTATACCTTTTATTTTTTTTCTAATCTTATTGCATTGGCCAGGAACTCCGGTAAAAAATGTTGAATAGAATTGGGGATAATTGCTAATTCTGTCCCGTATCTGTCTTTAAAGAGAATGCTTCCAACATTTTACCATTAGGTTTTATTAATTTTAGGTTGCTATCTTATCAAGATAAATTCCCTTCGATTCCTAGTTTATTAGAAGTTTTCATTATGAACAGATGCTGTCTTGTCAAATACTTTTTTTACACCTATTGAGAAATTTAAGTTTTTTCTTAATCTAGTAAAATGGTAAATTATATGAATAGTTTCCCTAATATCAAACCATATAAGCAATCATAAGATAAAACTTATTTGGTCTGAATTTTTTTTAACTGGATTTTATTTGCTAATATTTTATTTATGATTTTTGTGTCTGTTCATAAATGAGAGAACAAATTTCCCTTCTCCTAATGTTCTTATCTGGGATTAATATTAAGGTAATAATAACCTGATAAAGTGAATTAAGAAGCATTCTTTTTTTTTATTCTATTCTCTAAACAATTTGTATACAAAGGGAATTATCTCTTCTTTGAAGGTTTGATAGAAATTGTTGTAAAACCATCTGGGCCCAATTTTAGTGAATAGACCTTTTAAACTGTTAATTCGGTTTCTTTAATGTTTATAATCTATATAGTTAGACTTTCTGTTTATTTTTGAGTCAGTTTTGATAAGATACATTTTTCTTGGAAATTTTCCATTTCATCTTAAGTTTTTGAATTTATGGGTTATCCGAAGTATTCTGTTTCCTTATCTAAAAGAAAGGGGATGGATTTGCTCCTGATTTGTCCATTTCTTATCCTATGACCTTTGAGGTCAGAGGTAACAGGATACAGACAATAATATTTTTAATCTTAAAAGTTCCCATTTAAGCATCTACTGAATACTTTATATATCTTTTTCACAACAACCCTGTGAGGAAGGTACTATCATTATCCTCCTTTTACATAGGAGGTACCTGAGCCCAGAGAGGTAAAGGAAGTTGCCCAGAGACACACAGGTAGCAAAGGACAGATCCAGGTATCAAGCTCAGACCGGAGTGACTTTAAATAGCAGCTGTTCCTACTATCCTGCGTCCCCTCTGCCTGACGTGAACTGATGCTTTCCTGCCTACAGTGGATGGTCCTGACCTCAGCTTCATGAACGCCATTCAGAAGGCACTGGAGAGGATGTAACAGACATCCACGTCACTAAAGCCAGTGTGTTCAGTCTCCTATGTAAAAAAAAGTCAGAGGCATAAAAAAAAAAAAAAGTTGAAAGAAACACACTAAAATGTTAGTGCAGTTGTCAATGGCGGATAGATTACATATGGGTGAAATTTCACTTATTCCTATTTTTCTGTAGTTTCCATGTACACTTTTGAACTGGAAAAACATAATAAAACGTTATTGTTTAAAAGTAGACTAAAAACTCCTCAACGGCAGTGATTCCATCCTCTTCTTCATGGTCTACCTACCCTTTGAATGGTGCCTGGCAAGTAGTAGGTACTTAATAAATAAGCAGTGAAAGGATCAGAAAGAAACACATCAAAATGTTAAGCAATCTGTCTTCAGGACATGGAACTCTGAGTTACTTTTATATTCTTTCCACTCTCCTTTATTTTCTGAAGTTTCTACATTATAGTCCTTTTATCACTGGGGTGAAATTGGATTTATTTTAGAAAAAATTAGAAGTCATTGACAGCATTACAGTTGACCCTTGAACAACATGGGTTTGAACTACATGGGCCCATTTATACATGGATTTTTTTCAATAAATACTGTAGAGGTATTTTTTCTTCCTTATGATTTTAATGACATTTTCTTTTCTCTGGCTGACTTTATTGTAAGAATACAGTACACAATGCATATAACATACAACGTATGTGTTCACTGACTATGTTATCAATAAGGCTTCAGGTCAACGGTAGGCCATTAGTAGTTAAGTTTTTGTTTTTAATTTTATTGGGGAACAGCCACGATCCTCGCTTACACATTGCTTTCATGCTACAATGGCATAGTTGACTCTTTTAAAGAGGGCGCAGCTCACAGTGGCCCATGCGGGGATCAAACCGGCAACCTTGGTGTTATCAGCACCACGCTCTAACCAACCAAGCTAACCAGTCACCCCAGTAGTTAAGTTTTGGGGGAGTCGAAAGTTATATGCAGATTTTCCACTGCATAAGNAGTTAGATATTTCCTTGTACCTTTTAGTGAAGTTTAGTCCCTTGACCCACAATCCCACCTCTGCATTTTGTCAAGGTTCTGTGCGTGAGTGGGTCCACGCTCTAACCAACCAAGCTAACCGGTCACCCCAGTAGTTAAGTTTTGGGGGAGTCAAAAGTTATATGCAGATTTTCCACTGCATAAGGGGTCAGTGCCCCTAACCCCCATGTTGTTCAAGGGTCAACTGTAATTTCTTTTTCTTCATGAAGACCTTTTTGTTTAGAGCGGGGTCTTCAGAGGAAAAACTGAGGACGGGGGCTGTGGTTTGGTGGTGACCCAATGGTGACCCGGGGAGTTGCTGCATCTCAGCTGCAGGACTTGCCTGCCTGAACATTTCTGGGAAGTCATACACATAGGTGGTTCCCAACGACTGGGCCTGGAATCGCTTAGCCTGCAGCAGGTCCTTGGTGACGTAGGGCGTGTTGATCAGCATCCCATGCTGGGGCCCTTGCTTGTTGCCAAAGGAGTGAAACATGATCTGGACCAAAAAGAAAGAAAAAACAAGAGTGTGAGGGAGGCAAGTCTCAGGGAACCACACTCCTGCCAAATTTATTTAGACCCGAAATGAAAACAGTGGCAGAAATGCAAAGCATGTCACATCACATAACAAAGTGAGTGCCGGGGAGAGCTGATCTCTTCTCTGCCACCGTGGGCAACCAGAACAAGGCGGGCCAGGAGGTGAGGAAACAGCCCCCAAAAGGTAACTATCATAGAACTATACACACACACACACACACACACACACACAGTGCATAAAAACTGGTGAAACCCGAATAAAGTCTGCATTTAAGTTCACAGTACTGTACCAGTGTAAATTTCCTATTTTGACAAAGTCCTACAGTTATGTAAGATAGTATCACTGGGGAGCTGGGTGAAGGGGTACATGGGAACTCACTGTACTGTTTTTTTCCTCTGTACTAATTTTGCAACTTCTTGAGTATTTCAAAATAAAGTTTTATGGATATGTATACGGCAGCCAATAGGATATCTGATTCACTTTACAAAGTCTGTTCTAATAAAAAAAGTGGTTGGGAAAAATACCCATTTCACTAAGGGAACCACCTGGGAGCTGCACGATAATTAACCATGGTACCCCACATCTTATCCCAAATATGGTCCTAGAATGGAGTAAACTTTGGAATCATTCTCCTTTCCAGGGGAATGAACAACCGGGATTCAGACACTAGCACGTTTCTCAGAAAGCTCAGAGGGGCTACCCCACTCCAGCATGAGAGGCAAGATGGCCACCGAACGTCATTTGAATCTGTCTTGTTCGCCCGTGTGCAGCCCGCCTATGCTTTGACCTGGACCTCCGTGAAATGGCCGAGCCTTACGTTTCCGGATCTGGGGTCGGTGACTTCTTTGTAGAGGCTGATGTCCAGGTAGTAGCCTGACTCATTGGTGATGAACAGGCGGATGGGAAGGACATTGCTGATGGTGGTCTGACGGATGTTGATCTTGACCTCTGCCTGTAGCACGCGGAGTTTCCACAACCGGCTGCCGTAGCGCATCACCATGGAACGCACCGACTCCTCAATCTGCCCCAAACCACAGAATTTCCCATTTCAGAGCCCATCCCGCACGCATTTGTAAGAGTTCTAGCACTGGCAATAATGGAATGATGACATATACTGAACGCAACATGCCTGGGGCATAGGATTTATCCAACTACTATGAGCTAATAATAACCACCAAAGGCACCTTGCTAAACATTTTAAGTTCATTATCTTATTCCATCCTTATAATTGCTCAGAGAGGCCAGCATTTTCCTCCGCCACGTAGATGAGGAAACTGAGGCTGGTAACTGGCAGCTAGTGCTCCTACATTACACTGCCTTTATCGCCATCATGCATCTCAACCCTACACATCTTCTCTTCTGGGAACAACATGGACTGGTGGAGCTGGGCCATGAGCACGGGCCCTTTGCACCCCACAGATGCCAATCTGATGTGCCAGGGCTTGTTTCATCCCAGAATCGCCACCCTAAACCCTGCCTGCTCAGGAAGAACCAGCCGACGGAATCCCCAACAGAGCCTGGAACCAGGAAAAGGACAAACTTTTGTTTTGCAAGACATTTGGGACATCCAGGTTGTCCTAAAACTGAAGCAGGGCCATGAAGGGTGAACATCAGAACAGGGCTAGTCCTCAGGGTGGTAGCTAAAATACGGCTCTAGAATTAAACAATGGAAGGCTTGTTTTCTACCTGCAGCCACTAAGGTTCAAATGTGCACATAGGCATCCTGGAACTTGGGTCTCAAGTGCCAGGAGACAATGCCCAAAGCAGCCTAGCACAAAGCACCATGGGTCCTAGTGAGGTTGAGCCCCCCAAGGCGAGACCTTGTAGGGGTCCATGATGACCGTGGGCACAAAGTTGAGGAAGATGTGGTTGCAGTCGGTGCGCACGCTGGTGTTGTTGAACGCCACCTCCAGCTCGTCCATGGCCTCCAGGAGCAGCCGCTCACCCTCATTCTGCAGGTACTCGAAGGAGGCTTCCTGCCAAAGGTGGAGATTCAGCCGCTAAGTCAAGGGGTTCAGGATCTCTCCCAGCTGGCCTCAGAGAGGCGGGGGAGAGGAAAACATTCCTCTAAAAGTGTGGCAGGAGGGAACAGCAGAGCCCTGCCTCTGCAGGTGAAGGGATGACAAAGGCCGTTAAGTACATTCACCATCTTTTATTTTCTGTATTCTGATGCTTTGACACCTGGGGCCTTGCTGACCCTGGAGGGACTGCCCCTTCCAGAGTCAGCTAAGTCCTAGAGATAGGAACACAACTCACCTAGGAGCATGCTTTCCAAATGCAAGCCAACCAATCCAGAGCCCACACCCCAACCACCTCCTTTATTGGGCTCTCACACTCCAGGCCACTACCCCCTGTCCTAATCACCCCAGGTTCAGGTACCAGACACCCAGAGACAGCCCCTATGCTCAAAGCCAGCTAGAATCCCTCACACTAGGCCAATCTCAAGCCTGCTTTCCCTGCCTCACCTGTTCCTTCCTGCAGAAACCACAATAAGGGCTCCTGCCCACACTTCCCCCATCCCTTGCCTCCTGGCTGACCCTGGTGCTTCCCAGTGTGGCCTTCCATGGAGTAGAGAGCCCCTTCCTCCTGGGCACTCTGAGTAACAATCTTCTCAATGGCAACTGTCTCCTGATCAGTTGGCCTTCCTGCTCCTGAATAATGATAAAACCCATTAAAATAGCTAGTTGACTGAGGCAGCAAAACGCTGAGATCAAGTAAGAAAACAAACCAAAAAACAAAAACAAAAACAACCACACACATGGTACATCCATGCAAGGAAATAACATGGAGTACATTATCTTGCTTAACATGGAAAGAGGTCTATAAATAACTGACCAGTAAAACACAACAGTCTTCAAATGATCTGTCCACCTGAGCTCCATCTATAATTATACCTACAATACTATGTATGGAATTATGACTAGAAAGGGTCACCAACAGCACTGACCCCTGAGTGGCAGGATTCTGGCCACTTTTCACCTTTACCTTGATTTTTTAAAGTACAGTTGACCCTTAAACAACACAGAGCTTAGGGGCACTGACCTTCCATAGTAAAAAATCCACGAATAAGGACAACTGGCCTTCCCTGTACACAGATTCCCAACCTCGGAGTTGACGCTTGAACAACGCAGGTTTGAACTGCGCAGGTCAATTGAAAAGAATCCGCATATAAGTGGACCCGCACAGTTCAGACCCATGGTGTTCAAGAATCAACTGCAGTTTTCAGAATTGTTTGAAATATTCACAACATAATCATGGGTGACTCTTCTAAATGCAAGAAACAATGAGAAATGATCCCATAGTCAGCAAATACAAGAAACTCATTTAACAAACCAGCAACTTTCTACCCTCTCAATTCTGTCCTCATGCAGAGAGAACTACGTGACACAAGAAATGAATCCACGTGCCACCAGCTGGGACATGAAAACAGGCCATTTCAATGTCCGCCTCCCCACCCTCCAACCCCCGAGACTAATGTGTCACAGGGCAGGGCTAAGTGTGCCCAGTGAACCCTGCAATGCCCAGTGCGCAGCCCAGGGCCTGGCACAAAAGCAGGAACTCAACAAAGGGAAGGCCAGCATATGAGTGACAAGCTCAGAGGGAGAAAGAAACGTCCCGTGACATTTTACCTTTGTAATCAGGTCTGAGTGCCTGATGATGGCGCGGATAAAGAACCTGTGGTCCGTCACTTCCGTACCTTCCTTCACCTTGGCAGCGCCCAGGTAAAGGTGCATCTTGTGGTTGGCACAGGGCACGGCAGTCAGATCGAAATTGCGCATCCGGCTGAGCTCCAGCTGGAAGGCCAGGGCAGGCTCCAGGTGACGGTAAATGCGATCTTCTGCAAACTGCAGGCCAACCAGACAGAGAAGACAGATGCACACATAGACACACATCGAGTCTGACAGGAGACAAGAGCCTGCTTGGTCCACACAGCGGTCCTACAGCCGCTGGTGTCTGTGGGTTTAGTGCTAGGAATGTAGCAGTCATTGTATCACCCAGTTGTGAGGGGGCTCAAGAGATTTGGGATTTGGGGAAGGTCAGAGGACAGCCCTGAGTGTGTAAGCCTGGCATGCTGGCATAAATCTCTCAGCTGCCAGGGGAGCCCAGCTGGTCCCCAGCACCTGCCAGCACAGACAAGCTGTTCTCGGTCTGTCCCAGGCAGAGTATTTCTCAAGAAGTCACTAACTCCTAGGTTATTTGTGGAAACTGGCCCCCTCTAGGACACAACAGACAGTGCTGGAGACTGAACTGAAGGAAAAATGAAGAAGCCAGAGAAAGGATGGGTTTTACTTACAGAAGGCTTTGGATCAATTAAAATACAAAATTCTGAATTTGGTGGAGCCCTGAATCTGCGTTGGGAACAAGTCCACCTGTACCTGTCCTAGGACAGGGATCAGCAAACTTTTCCTTCAAGGGCCAGATGGGCCATTCGGTTGGTCATGACTACTCAAGTCAGGCGCTGGTGTGAGAAAGCCACAGCAGACCGTATGTGACCACATGGGTGTGGCCATGTTCCAATCAAACTTTGTTTATAAAAACAGGCAGCCAGCTCACAAGCCATAGTTTGCCAACCACTGTTC